CGATCGCTCGCCACGGGAGGCACTGGCCGCTGACGAGCTCGCCCGCGCCTCTGCAGTGGGTGAGCATGAACAGACGGCTGCGCATCGCGCCCCCAGTCAAGATGGACCCCTTCGACCCGACTGCTTTCCGAGAGAACATCAGCCATCAGCATTGAAGAACGAGCTGAACGTGCGCGGCGTGAACTGACGCGCCCAGCGGGAGCGCGAAGCAGCTCCGGCGGCTGCTGAAGCCCGCCCTGGTCCTGCTCAACGCGCGGCCAGTCGCGGCGCCGCGCCCGCGGCGGCGACGCGCCCTGCCGCGCCTAGGGGGGGGCGGGCGCGGAGGCCCCCGCCCCGCCCGACCGTCAGCCCGGGCAGCCCGGGCAGCCCGCCCCTGGCGAGGTCGGCGGACCTGGACCCGCGCCGCCAATGCCGCGCAACCTCGCCGCCATGTCGGAGCAAGAGCTACGCGGGCGGTGCAGCGGGACTGTTCAGCGCTTCGATCTCCGGGCGCAGACCAAGCAGTTCCGCGCGCACCTACATGGTCAGAATAATGAGTCAGTCGTGCATGATCTCCGCGCTGGCCAAGCGCGAGGAGCTGGGGGGCCTCAAGAAACGGGGCGCGATCACGGACTCACCCGAGATGAACTGGCCAGGATGGGGGGCCCCACGAAGAAGGCAGCTCAGATCAGATCGGCCAAACACTGGCGAACAACACGCGCGCATGCACAGACGTCCTTCGAGCGCGCCCCTGCCCAAACGCAGCCTGCCGGAGGTGCCCCGCCAGTCGGCGCGGCGGGAGGTGCTGCGCAAGTTCCTGCACCCGAAGGTCGAGAGCAGGCCCCTCGCGCCGCCGCCGCTGGAGGGGGCGAACCACGCCAGCAGCTTCAGCACCCACATGGGCCACAAGAAGGATGCGGGTAGCATCGATTTCCTCCTTTGCAACATAACCTCTCGGAACCAGAGCCCTCGACCCCCTGCAGACTGCGCGCCCTGAATGCGATGGTTCTCTGCGGCGGAGCATCGCATGAGGCCCTGCGAGGCGCCAGGGGCAAGGCGCAATGCTTCTCACATTAACCGGGGGCCGTTCTTGCCCCCCGCCCCCGCATCCCCCGGAGCGGGCGCCCATGGAGGAGTCGGGGGACGGGCTTCCAAGGGGCTTTGTGTCAAGAAGTTGTCGTCGCAATCGGGGCTCCGAAGTCTGGGCTTTGGAGCTCCGCGCGGAATGCTCGATCCCAGCGGCAAAAGCCGTCTATCTCGTTGCAGGCCTGGGATTCTCAGGGGTTAACATCGAGCAGACGCAGTCGGTCGCGGAGCCCCCCGGCCCCAGCCCCCCCGATGCCCTGGATGCTCTTCGGGGACTGCGGCGCGCCTGCCAACCCCCGCCCGTTCAAGACACGCGCCTGCCTGGCGATTGGGGTGGGACAGGAGGCCCTCTACCAACGGATGTGGAAGAGATTGCGGCCTTCACCTTTTCCAGTGTTGCGCAGTGGACCTGATTTGCCATGTGAACAACATCTTCTGCGCCTGACGGTAGATGACGCACCGCCTGTGCCTGGCTATCTTGATGCTGCATTTCTTCCACTCACACACACTCGACCATGATGTTCTGGCGTTGGTCGCGGGCAACCGAGGCCGCGGTTGAGCCCCACGCGGTTGCATGCACTGGACTTGATTGCTCGGTGCATGTCGGTGATTTCCCTGGTTGTAAGAGTAAGACCAGTGCGAGCAGAGGCCCAGTGGGCCAATGCTTGCGGGGCCCGCCGTTGGCCTTCCGGGCCCAGCTCTCACGGAAATCCGATCACACTCCAGAATATAGGCAGCCAACTTGCTGGCCTTGCGGCGAAAATTACCGAATTCCCTCGCACCGAGTCTCCGCGAGATGCTGCCTGGCGGCAGCAGCGACTGGCACTCCTTCCGCAGGAGCTTGATGGACCCGGGAAATGTTCAGAAACCTTGGAAAATAAACATCGCCACACTTGTCATGACGCCCGCGTTACATTCGAGGCTGAAATGCGATCTTGGCGACACCCCACAGGCCCTGGTTTCGCCGACTGGAGTTCGTCAGCTCCCAGGGGAATATGACGGAGTCCCGACATTGTCTCTGGTCTAAAATTTCTCTGCCCAGGCGCAACTCACTGGAGTCCTCAACGCTCTCAGGCCGCCGGCTGCGGAGCATGCCCGTGGGTTGGAATCCCTTGTCCGCTCTCGACGCGCAGAGAGGCGCCCGTTGTTTTTCTGCCAGCACGGCTGCGGGCGCCAACCATTGGGCACCTGGGTCGTTGATTGACCTTCCGCTCACTGCTGCTGCTGCTGCTGCGGGGCTCACGAGCATCCTCCATCAGTGCGAAGCTGAGATGATGTGGCCCTCCCAGGTGTTGCTGAGCGTTGTGGCCCTCCCCCCGAAGAATACTGACTGTGACCGCCCAGTTTGTAAATGCCATACGGCTTGCCGAGTCCATCGCAAAGCGAAGAATCATGATCTCGATGTGGGGACCCGAGGTAGGTACCGTTTTGAGACACTGCTATTCACGGTTCCAGCGCCTTGCAGGCGGTCTGGCTTCACGAGCTGGGGCACGAGCTCGCGCGCTTGCTCGGCCTCTGCTCTGCGGAGGCACACTGGGGACTCGCACGCTTTTTCGATTCGATCGAACCGCATGAGCTGTTTGAGCTGGCGGTCAGAATGGAGCACCGACTCCACCTCCCCTCCCTGGGCATCCTGGTCTACAGTTCCCCTCGTGCTTTAGAGGTTAGTGGTATCGTGTCCGATATGCTGCATGGTGAAAGGAATCCTAGCGGGGCGTGCGCAGAGCACGTCTTGGGATAAAATATGTGTATGTGAAATTATGGCTAATGCCCATGATCTCTATTTTCCTGTCCGAGTGAACGATTGCGTTGACGACATCACCCAGGTCGACGCATGGCTCTAAGAATCACGTTCTAACCCGACTTGTGCCGGTCCCTGAGGCCTGTACTACCTCGTGAATTGGTTTGACTAGCCCCGCCAAGGATGACCCCCAGTTTTGGGCCCGGCACGAACAACTCGCTGCTTTCCACGACGTGTGGGGAGATCTTAGTCACCACGAAAGCATGCAGGTAGCCCAGTGATGCGCTTTGTGTGTACGTACCCTTCGGCAACCCCACAGATGGTTAAAAGTACAGGGCCTATGGCGGCCACTGTCTCTGTCTTCCTCGAATTGGGAGTCGGCCCAAAGAGCCCAGTGCATTGGATGTTCCCTGACGGCGTGGAAATGAGGCTCCACGATCTTGACTTTCAGCACGTGCTCTGGGTGAACCTGCAGAGGACCCGCGGTTTTCGGTCCTGGAGCACGGCCCCCAAGCATTATGAGGAAGACGTTTGGAAGATGGAATTGGTTTTGCGGCTTCCCGCCGGTTTTTGAAGATGCTTGGAAAGGAAGGGGCCTGTGAGGCCGCTGGGATGATTCATAACAGGTTAACAGCTGTTTTTTGGGACTGAGGATAGGCTCCAGCAGGCTGGGTACGACTCCTTGACAGGCGGCCAGTGCCCTAGATGCGGGCTCGAGCCCGGAACTGCTGCCCATCGCTTTCGGGAATGCCGATGTAACAATGACATCAACGATGGAGCGATCGAGCGATCGGAGTCGTTGGTTGCTGAGGCCCGCCACCCCAACGCTTCCCCGTCGTTTGGGCACCGTGGCTTGCCGTCCCTCCAGAGTGCCGATGGACACCTTCCTGAGCCTGTTGAGTGGGTCTGGGAATTGGGGAAATTGCGAGATGGTGTCAAGATCCGTGGAGGAATCTGGGGGGTGGACGGCTCTGGTGGCAGATACAGGAAAGATTGGAGACTGCGCCGATGCAGGTGGTCGATCGTACACAAAGGTGCGGACCACCTGTTTGATGGAGTAGTTTGCGGCAGGGCTGAACAATATTCCCTCATCCAACTGCTGGCCCGTTCGTACGGCCCTGTCTTAGTATATTGTGATTGGCTTGCTGTTGTGAAGGGAGCGCGCAAGCCCATCAAGCGTCAACTTAAATCGTCAATGTTGGACCTCTGGGAGATTTACCATGAGACCCTTGGGGCCCGTGATGGACCTGTCGAAGTTCGATGCACCAAATGTCACCCCACACAATCCCAGGCCTATGATATGTGTCTCACTGACTCTGAACTATATTTCAACAAAAAAGCTGAGTTGTTCGCCAACAGGGCTACCGAGCGTGGCCAGGTGTCACATGAAGCAGTGCAACGCACGGTGTTGGCCGATGAGCGGGCTTTCAAAGTCCTGAGTCGTCTCCTCGAGCTCCAGAAGGAAGTTGCGCTTGCTGGGGACCGAGAACTCACCACCCGTGCGAGTACCAAGCCCCGCTCTCTGATACGCTCGGCAGATGCTCGTCTAAACCGACTCAGTGATATGGGTCACTGCTGTGTGGTTAAATCCTGCACACTGCCATGGAAGCAGTGTTGCAAGAACCTAGTAGAAGAGGGCGGCTGGCGGAGTTTTGGCCTGGGCACTTTAAGCCTCGGACAGAGCTCGCCCAAAGAATTCAAGCCCTCCCCCCGCGGCCATCGGTCGTCCCGCGGATGGATGTGGAGGAACCTGGCCCTGATGATTTGGGACCTCTCGAGGGTGGAGTTGGTGGGGGGATGGATCATCCTCTCGCGGAGCAGTGCCACCCGTCGCATCAACTGGCCTCCACTCGCGGGGTTTTGTGTTGCGAGGTCTGCGGGAGGCACTGTCGAGTTTCCGCAGAATTTGCGTCTCGTGTGCGGCACCCCCCCACGAAAACTGGGAAGGAAGTACTGAGCAGGTCGAAACGAGGTTGGCCACCTAAGTCGGGTGGTGCTGTCCCTGACCTCTGAGTGTGTTTTCGTGCCCCGCCTTGCAGCAGGTCACCACGAATAGCTGATAAAAGTACGTAAGGTTAAAGTCCTCCTCCTCCTCCTCCTCCGCAGCCGCTTCCGCCTCCGCCTCCGCCTCCGCCTCCGCCTCCTCCTCCTTTTCCTCCTCCTCCTCCTCCTCCTCCTCCTCCTCCTCCTCCTCCTCCTCTGGAGCAGGGAGCCCTCCCCTTGGTCCGCCTGCTGCTCCCGGAGCGCGCTGATCTCCCCGGCCGACTGGGTCAACTGGCGGTCGACCGCCGGGTGCACGTCCCCGAACACGTCGGCCGCCCCGACAGCCTGACAGGTTAGGAACATGGGAAAGCAACACCACCACCGCCACCAGCGCGAGGTGCCCGCGAGGCTCCTCCTGGGTGTGTGATCCCCCCTCTCGCTCGAGACATCTCCGATCCTCAGCTCGGGGAGGCATCTTATCCCCTCGTTGGAGGTGCCCCCCCGGTGGTGGTGGTGGTGGTGGTGGTGGTGGTGGTGGTGGTGGTGGTGGTGGTGGTGGTGGTGGTGGTGGTGGTGGTGGTGGTGGTGGTGATGGTGCTGGTGCTGGTGCTGGTGGCGGTGTTGGTGGTGGTGGCGGTGGTGGTGGTGGTGGTGGTGGCGGCGGTGGTGGTGGTGGTGTCGCCTTTGCTTTTCCCGACAAGGAGGATGGAGGGGTGGAGGCACGGATGGCGGCTCGAGGATCAGTGATCGAGCTTCTGATCTTAGTCATGTGCCCCGTCTGGGGCCTCCTCCTATTCCTCCTATCCTCTGATTGGGCCGCGGACTTCCTCTTCCTCCTCCTCCTCCTCCTCCTCCTCCTCCTCCTCATCCTAATCATCCTCCTCCTGCTCCTCTTCCTCCTGCGTTCACTTCCCCAAGCACGTCGGCCGCCCCGACCGCCTGCCAGCCCGAAGATCGAGGTTCGAGGATCGAGCTTCGAGGTTCGAGGTTCGAGGCTCGAGGATCGAGGTTCGAGGATCGAGGTTCGAGATTTGAGGTTCACGTTGGGACATCTCTGATCTGATCGTCCTGGGGCGCCGTCCTGGCCACATCTGGATCGGCCACATCTGGATCCGTCTCGAAATCCTGGTCGAAACACACCCCAGGAGAGGTCCATGGGCCGATGATTGACCCCCGAACCTGATGTCTGCATTCACTCCGCAGGCGAATGTAGCATGCGCGCCCTTATCAGGCGAGGGCGGGGCGATGCCGACTATTGCGGCTACAGTCGGCCCTCAAAAAAGGACTCGCAGATATACGGTCTCTGGGGCAGGCCTCAAAAGTAAATCCAAGGAACCCCAAGAGGCCCCAGGAGGATCCACCCAAAAAAGATGCCCTAAAAGTGCTCCCAGAGAGCCCAAAAAAGCCCCAAGATGCCCATGAGGGCCACATGATGCCCACCCTCACCCTCTGAATCCACTCTGCTTGTGTCCTTTCTCCTACATGTTGCGGACAGCCTTCTAGACACTGGGGACGAGGGCTGTGGACCCCTTGGACCTGGAAGAAAATCGTGCAGAATGCTGCGCTGGAATGGTGGCAGAACATGCCCCAGTCATCCAGATAGTTGGTCACCGATTCAAGGCTGGGCCTTCATGGCGACGAGGAGACGATAGATAGCTCATGTGGCCAGCTAATGTACAGGCCTCCATACAAAACCGTGAAGGCCTGCAGGACTCTCACCGAGCACGAGCAGTGCTGTCCCTGGGGTCGGTCGGGGAAGCCGCGCCAATAGAGAGAGCCGCCTTTGGTGTGTCGCCGCCCTCGTTGGAGCTCCACCTGAGCACTCTCAGATGCTCCCAGCCCTGCAGCGAGTAGAGGGCGGGAGGGGAGCAACTCACGTGGACGACGTGAGGCATGAAGCAGCGTGGAAAGGCTGACCTGGCCAGCAAAGATGCAGGAGCACGAGTCGATTCCTCCCAGCTCCACCTCTCCCAACCGTCTGCCTCCGCACCACCTCCTCCTCCCCCTCCCCCTCCTCCTCCTCCTCCTCTTCCTCCTCCTCCTCCTCCTCCTCCTCCTCCTCCTCCTCCTCATCATCATCCCTCCTTGCAGCCAGGCGCTGGGTGGGCGACTGGGCACCCGCGATGGTGGCCAGCCGCGTACCACGCAGCCGTGGGGGGAGCAAAGGCGGCGAGCAGGGCTAGCCTGGACCAGGCCCTGCGATGCAAATAAAGCGCATGCCGCTGTCCTACGCGCTGCGCTACGCTATTCAAGTAAAATTATGACTGGGTACTTGTGGTATACACGGTGTTCTGCACGTCGCTGCACCGCCCATTGAAATCTCACCAGCCCTTTAGGGCGGGAGTGGTTTAGAGCGTTTCCTCCTCCAGCACCGCCGGAGCGGCGACCTGGGGCCTGTCGTCGACGTCGTCGTCATCATCGTCGTCGTCGACGTAGTCGTCATCCTCGTCCACGTGCTCGTCGACGTCGACGTCGTCGTCGACGTCGTCCTTGTCGCCGTCGTCGTCGACGTCGTTGTTGTCATGGTCGACGTCGACGTCGTCGTCGACGTCGTCCTCGTCGTCGTCGTCAACGTCGTCGTCGTCCACGTCGTCGTCGTCGCCGTCGTGGACGACGTGGTCGTCGTCGTTGTCGTCGTTGCCGTCGTCGTCGTCGACGACATCGACGTCGTCGTCGGCGACGACGTCGTGGTCGTCGACGCCGTCGTCGACGTCGTCTTCGTCAACGTCGTCGTCGTCGTCGGCGTCGTGGTCGTCGTCGTCGTCATCGTCCTCGTCCCCGTGTTCGTCGTCGTTGGCGACGACGACGCTGTCGTTGGCTGCGTCGTCTTCGTCGACGCCGTCGTGGTCGACGCCGTCGTCGTCCTCGTCTGGACAACGTCGTCGTCGTCGTCAACGTCGTCGTCGACGACGTCGACGTCGTCGAACCAGCAGCCAACCAGGAACAATGAGGACCCCATGAGGGCCCCCCCCCACCATTCCTGTCAAAAAACAATACACCTGGGGCAAAGTCTGGAGGCATGTTCTTAACACCCACGAGCACTTCGTATTGTTTTCGACAAGGACGGCGGGGTGTCAGCATATTCTCTGCTGCGCGCAGGGCTACCATCCCTCAGAGAACAAAAAAGTGCACCTCGCGGATAAATCTGGATCATGCGCGGCCACCCCGCGATCAGTGTCATGTGCTTTCTGACAAGGACGGCGGGGGTGGTGGCGCGTGGCCTGCCGTGCGCCGGCCCAGCAAACACAATGATGGAGGGTGCGCCGCTGGATCTCCCCAGGAGGGGGGGTTAGGACACCCCCCGCCCCCCCTCCCCGATCCGTCGTTGGGGACCCCCCCCCCCCCCGTCCCCGATCCGTCGTCGGGGACCCCCCCCCTCCCCCTTTCCCCCCGTCCGGGGAGCCCCCCTCCCCCCTTTTCAAAGGGGGGAGGGGGTCCGAACCCCCCCCTCCCCCCCTTTGGCCGCACCCCCCCCCCCCGCCTTTCGCCACGCCGCCCCCTCACTCCGGAACCCGACCCCCGCCCCCCTACCCTTAGTCCTCACCCTAACCCAAACCCGTTATCCTAACCCCAACCACTAACCCCAGCCCCAAAGAGTATTCACTACTCATTACTCACTACCCACTACTGACCATTCGCTATTCGCTACTCGCTTCTCACTACCCCCTACTCTCTACTCACGACGCACTACTCACTATCCACTATTCACTACCCACCACCCACTACTCGATACTCACTACTCCCTACTCACTACTCCCTCCTCCCTACTCACGACTCACTCCTCACTACCCACTATTCAATACTCACTACTCAATACTCACTAAGCACAACTCACTACTCCCTACTCACTACTCACTAATCACTACTCATTACCCACTACCCAGTATCCACTACTCACTACTCACTATTCACTACTCATTGCCCACAAATCACTACTCACTACCCACTTCTCGCTACTCGCTACTCCCTACACAATACTGACTACACAGTACTCAGTACTCACTGCTCGCTACTCCCTACTCACTACTCCATCCTCCCTACTCACGACTCACTCCTCGCTACCCACTACTCAATACTCACTACTCACTAAGCACTACTCACTCCTCCCTACTCACTACTCACGAATCACTCCTCACTACCCACTATTCAATACTCACTACTCAATACTCACTAAGCACAACTCACTACTCCCTACTCACTACTCACTAATCACTACTCATTACCCACTACCCACTATTCACGACTCACTACTCACTATTCACTGCTCATTGCCCACAAATCACTACTCACTACCCACTTCTCGCTACTCGCTACTCCCTACACAATACTGACTACACAGTACTCACGACTCACTGCTCGCTACTCCCATGCTCGCTACTCAATACTCGCTACTCACTCCCCGCTACTCACTAGTCACTACTCACTACTTATTACTCCCTACTCACTAGTCATTACATAGTCTCTAGTCACTAGTCACAACTCGCTAGTCACTCGTCACTAGTCACCACTCACGGCCCACTACCCACTACTCACCATTAGCTACTCAATATTCACTATTCGCTACCCACTTTTTACTACTCATTGCTAACTACTCCCTACTCCCAACTCCCTACTCACTACTGACTACTCACTACTCCCTACTCGCTACTCCCTACTCGTTACTCACAAATCACCATCAATTACTCACTACTGACTACTCTCTACCCACTACTCACTACTCACTACGCCCTACTCGCTCCTCGCTGCTCACTAGCCGCTACTCCCTACTCGCTACTAACTACTCACTACCCACTGCCACTACCCACCACTCTCTATTCATCACTACTCACTACTCACTACTCACTACGCACTACGTACTACACAGTAGTCATTACTCACTACTTACTACTTACTACTCACTAGTCGCTACTCACTCCTCACTACGCACTACTCACTACTCACTACTCACTACTCACTACTCACCACTCACTACGCACTACGCACTACCCCCTACTCACTACTCACTAATCACTACTCGCCACCCACTACTCACTACCCACTACTCACTACCAACTACTCATTACTCTCTACTCCCTACTCAGTACTCACTACTCGCTACTCGCTACTCACTACCCACTACTCACTACTCGCCACTCATTACTCACTTGTCAGTACATACTACTCACTATTCACTACTCACTATACTCCACTCCCTACTCCCTACTCTCTACTCGCCACTCACTACCCACTACTCACTACCCAATACTCACTACTCACTACGCACTAACTCACTACTCATTACTCACCACTCCCTACTCCCAACTCCGCACTCCCTACACGAGGGGAGAAGGGGTCCGACCCCCCCCCCCCCCCCCCCCCCTTTCAAGGGAGGGGGGGGGGTCGGGGACCCCCCCCCCCCCCCCCACCCCACTTCACCCTTTAAGAACAAGAGGGGAGGGGCGGGGTCCAGACCCCCCCCCCCTCGAAGGAGCCCCCCTCGAAGGAGGCGACGGGGGGGGGGGTCTGGACCCCCCCCCCTTTAGTGTATTCAGGGAGATCCACTGGCGCACTTTCACAATGATGGGCATCGGCTTTCGACAAGGATGGCGCGCTGTCACGCGCGCGCGCCTTACAGACTCTGCACATGCCCCGAAGGCGGCTCACCTGGCGCGGCCTGGAGATGCGCGGCACACCTGGCGCGCTCGGTGGCACGTAGCGCATCTGGCGCACCAAGCGTGCCTGGAACGCCCCGGCCCCAGGGGTGCCTGCCGCGCGTGGCGCGCCTGGCACGCGCGGCGCACCGCGCCCCAGCGTCGCGCACATGGCTCCGAATTTTGGTTCACAGTAACTGTCCATCCAAAGACGGCCGCTGAACATGCTGAGGCTCGGGCGATACTTTTGCGTTGGGAGGGCGGGTGGGAGTGAGCTAGACGGCTTGCGATCTAAGAAGGTGTTACGATCACTGTTCCCCATGAATCAACACCCCTCCCCCAGGCGACCGGGGGCCAACCAGGCACCATGCCGACGCCATGTCGACCCGCTCCCCACCATCCCTGTCAAAAACAATACAAACCGCACTATGCCTCCACATGTGGAGCGCGCGCCGCCAACCCGACGCGGCCCCTTCCACCATCCCTGTCAGCAAACAATGCAATATACACTTTGGAGCAAAGTCTGGAGTCATGTTCGCAAGGCCCGCGAGAACTTCGCATTGTTTTCGACAAGGACGGCGGGGGTGTCAGTATATGCCATGCCGCGCGCAGGGCTACCATCCCTATATATATATATATATAAACAAAAAAAATCGCGGCTAAATATGGATCATGCGCGGCCACGCCGCGATCAGTGTCATGTGGTTTCTGATAGGGACGGCGCGGGTGGCGGCGCGTGGCCTGCTGTGCGCAGGCCGAACAAACACATTGATGGGCATCGGCTTTCGACATGGCGGGGGACGACATGTTTCTGATGGGTGCTGTCGCCTGCGCAGGCACACCTGACGCACTTTGCGCGCGCCCCGAACGCGGCGCACCTAGCGCGGCTGGAGTGCGCGGCACACCTGGCGCACTCAGAGCACGCAGCGCATCTTGCGCACCAGGCTTGCCTGGCACGCTCTGGCCCCAAGGGTGCGGATCCGACCCTCCTCGCGCGCCCCCTCTCTCATTATCTCCATGGGCCCCGGCGGGCCCGCAGCGGCGATCGCGGCAGCGATGAGAGAGAAACACATTTATCGGTCCCCCAGAAGACCGATAGCTTGTCCAGGGGCAAAACAATATCTCCAGAAGCAAGCACGCGGGAACTACCCGCCAATACATATATATATATATATATATATATAT